CTATGAATGCATTTTCAAAGAAATATAGAATTCATTAGAAATACATGCATTTTTATAGCGCAGCAATGCTACATAACTTTGATAGATACCATTTAATTCATTCGCTGCTGCTTCATTATGTCACTATTTATCAAATTTTCGACAGGCCTTCCCAGCGATCTGGTACTGTATAAAAATAGCGATCCATGGCATCGATAAAGCGCTGCTTATAACGTTCTGGCGATATAACAGTTGGTAGTTTTCCAATGCCACCAAGTATACCAGTTTGTTTAACAAAGGACTCAACCTTTTTATCAAAAGTAAAAGTTCGTATATAGTCTGGAAAATTAATGGATGGAAAAGATGGAAGTTTTTATTTTGATTTGTATGTACGCGAACCTACCAATTATGCCCAATACCAGCACGTTACTTTTATGGTCCAAGCCTACAAGTAACGAATAATCCATTACTTGGTTTTTTTCCAAGAAAGTAGAGTCTCGATTGATAGCATCTTTAAGGACTGCCTTGCTATGTGATAAAATATATAATGGCTTAGACCAAGACACTGCAAATATATAACAAAAAATAGAATAGAAAGAATTGGGCACGTGAAATTTTAACATACTTTGCACTAAGTTTTCGTCCAACAGCACTATTTCACCCTGCTGATCGGTTGGATCTACTAAGCGGTTGCGTTCGGAACCCTTTAAGTCAAATTTGTTTTTGATATCACAGCCAAAAAAAAGGTTCTCCATAACCAGTAGTGATTTTTCCGCTATTGAACTAAAAAAATGGAAAGCAAGCAAATATTTGTAATCATATTTTATTTACATTTTCATAGAATAATCGAGGTCAATGGACTCGGACCTAAAACAAATTGCTTTGTGTTTTTACCACCCAAAATAACAAGTAACAAGATAGTAACAAGTAATAATAAGTCTAGGCTCGGGCGAAGCGAAATTAGAAAAAAATAATAGTTTTTGAATATTTAATTAAAAATATCCTGGCCAGGATTTTTTCAGCCAACCCACCACTCGCGAATTGTAAAGTTAAAACTGCCAAAACTGAATGATTTAATTAAAAAATTAAAAGAAGTAACTACTTACAAGGTAAGCGTCTGCGAACTTTTTCGCATATTTCTCTCACTGAGAGCAGATGTTGGATTACTCTCAGAAATTGGGTTACTGGCAAGTTACTGGACATCTTTTCAGTGGGGAATACGCAGACAAAGCTATTGATGCTGATAACACGGTGCTACTAAAAAAAATCCCGAAATTCACTCGAAACAAAACTTGGGGTAGGCTGTATGTAGGGTCGGGAACATTATGAAAATAGGTTTCTTATAGCTCCTGAACCTTCCCCTTTTTTATTTAAAAGAAAAAGTTATTTTCATGCTTGATGTACTTCTCTATTAACAGCTTGACTATTTTTCATCCGATTTTTAAACTTAAACATGTTTTGGAAAATGGATCCATTAAATGATCATCGGGTAATATTTGAAAATCCCCATTTTTCTTAATTTTTTCTACTTTGACCATCGCTAATTTTAAAAGTTTCTTTGAAAGTTCCAAAATATTTAGTATTTGTCTATAAGTACATTTATTTTCAAACAAATTGATACCTTATTCAATGACGTCGGATAAAAAACATCGAAGTGAGGCAGTTTAAAAAGATACACGGCTTGGAGTTTATGTGTGTATGCATCGGACTTTCGGATTTTTTGAGCAAATCCTCGTCAATATTTCCTCGTAGGACCGAAAGAATCAATTTTAGGGTGGAAAACGCCCTCTCCAACGAAACCTGGGTTGTAGGAACATCAAAACTAATTTGAGACATTTCAGATAATTCTTTGAATGGGTCATTATTTCAGAAGTTCAAAACACCAACATTATTTGAAAGCCGCTTTGTATTATCAAACGATTTGATGTTATCTATTAATGATCTATTTTTGCGCTTCGCTTTATCCTTCCCTATTTCTTTTAAAATTTGATCAATTTCTTCATCGGAACTGAATTGAAGAGATTGACAAGTATTCATTAGCTTGCGCACCATTCAATTTTGCTTTTAGATTAAAAACCTGTACGATGTTGTCATTGCAGTACCAGTTGCAGAATCAGTAAAGAGTATTTGATACCGTGGGTCCAGATATACAGCAGCCAAAATATAAGGGTTTCGCAGCAAAATTTCTCCATGTTTTTTTTTGCGTCTGTCAAATGAGATGGGTTACCTTTAATTTGATCTTGATATTAGTTGCGTTCGATAACAAAATTAGCCAACACCAGCCAACAATCANTGCGTCTGTCAAATGAGATGGGTTACCTTTAATTTGATCTTGATATTAGTTGCGTTCGATAACCAAATTAGCCAACACCAGCCAACAATCAAAATCACGAGAGTAAGCGAAAATTCTCTCCCAAAGAGATGACAAAGCAAAAAAGTAAACGAACAGGAAATTAGCCATTACTTGCAAAAACCGGAAGAAGAAGACACACCAGCTGACTTTGTTTATGTTTTATTTGTAAACAAACTGAAATTCATGTTGCCTCCATGGAAGAAAAAAGGAAAGTGAACGTTCAATGTTCGCCAGGAATATTTCTAGAAGTAAAAACTAGTTGGCGCTATCATAAAATCTCATAGCAGGCAGCCAAAAAGCATATAAATAACAAACCTCGACAAATCCAATTTTGTTTGTTTACAAAAATTGCAACCATATGTTTTGTGATCATATGTTTTCGTGTTGGATAATTTTTGCTGACTAAAATTTTGCCAGTACAAAATGAACGCTTCTCTTGCATCAAAATGAACGCTAGCTCTCTCAATTTTTGTGTGTTGGATAATTTTTTGTCGTTATCGAACGCCATCCAGTAAAAATTTGGAAAAACTATTACAAATTTTTGACTTGTCGAACGCAACTATTGCCACATGGTAAACAAGCACGTTATATACTATATTTAACAAAAAGAAAAAAAGGTAGGTAAATTTATCTATTGAAAATTTATTGAAATGAAACCTTTATGAAAAGTGGTTCGGTTTTCGGTTCGGATCAAACATTTGAGTAAATTACCGGTTCGGTTAATGGTTCAGTTCATTAATATAAAAAAAAAAGCTTTCCGGTTCAAAACCGGTTCACGTCCCTGATATAAACTTATAGTAGGTATCTTAAAAGTTTACTAAAATAAACATAAAGCTTAAAAAACGCATATTTTCGGTTTACAAAACGCTTGAAAAAAACGTAATATAATCGAAACGGCCTGTTTTATAAGCTTATGAATATAAATTTATAATCAGCCTTATCATGAGTTTCATTTTCCGCGAACCGGTTCACTTTTCACTTTTGGTTACCATGGTTTACTATGGGCGGTTGACAAATTTTCGGAAAATTTTATAAGTTTATAAGTTCAACACAGCGCAATGCTGTTAGCACGGCTTGAACTCGAGTCCAAACTGTTCTAACAAAGAAATCACGCCACTTTCTTCGCAACTATTGTATTGCAGCTTCTCTAAATTATAAAGCATTTGACTAACTTAAAAAAAATACAACTATATTAGTAAGAGAATGGGTATTTCATGCCCAGCCGTGTTAAGAACGTTGTTGGCCACGTACAACGTCGAAGAAACGTTGTTGGCCATGTACAAGGCCTTTGTTGTCGTCGGGGACTAGTAGGACGCAGTGGATGAAGCTACATACTTGCCAAAACAACGGATGCCTTCTGATGTCGCCGCAACATCACGTGCACGATGAGCCTCAACTGCTCCCCGTTAAGGAGTATAACACAACGCTCTGCAAGCAATTCTTAGTAGGGTCCCACCGACGTGGGCACCCGAACAAACACTTGCTTGCGGAGGAGCCCTCGTCACGGCACGTAAAGAGGCACCCATACGAACTGACAGACGAAGTTCCGAGGTTGCCGACAGGCCATAAACGGCATTCGCAGGGAGTCAGTGGCGACCAACACCGACTCTCGACCTCTGAATGCTGTTTTTGCAGCAGGCTAAACTCGTACCGACTAGCCGATCTGGGCGGCGACAAGAATACATGGGAACGAAAAGTGAAAAGTGAACCAGTTCGGGGAAAATTAAACTCATGATTAGGCTGATTAAAGACTTATTAAACTACAAGACCTAATTTTTGCATAATTTTTGTACATGTTTTATTATGGTGAGACAGTTTTGCCAATCTGCTGTGTGAAATTAAATATTTTTTGACAGCAGTAAATTTTTGATAACCGCAATTTATTTGGAATAAAATATTACAAATTGATGTGAAATGAATATTTTAAGAAAACATCTACCATCGTTGATTGCAATTCATCTATTTAAGTTTTTATTTAACGAAAAATTACAGTGTAATTATTACACACATCAACAATCTTTGCGATTGTCAAAATTTTCTATCCATTTGTCAAAAATTTCACTAGCCTCATGAGCTACTGAAATTTTATTCACCTCATTGTTGTCAAAAATTTACTCGACGCAAACTTTGTTGCCGATTCACACACGATCCTAATATGATTTCCGTGTACGTGTGGTGAATAAAAATAACGTTCATTTACTTTCATAACTCAAAAAACTAAAACCTCTGGAAAAATGACTTTAAAGTTTTGATTTAACATACATCCATAGTAAAATTTAATACGCATGTTTTTCTAGTTAGCTACTGGTAATTCGTACTGTTATGAAATCTTTACACAACCTCGAAGAAAAGGTAGCGGTCATTTCAACGTTGGGTGTGGTTAAAAATTCTTAAATAATTGGAAAACGACCCTACAAGAATTGTGTGATGGAAACTAACACATTCTCATTTATCTTACTTCGCAAGGTATTTTCATTTTAAGTTTGCATTGCCAATGAAAAAATGCACAACTTTAACAAAGAAAAAAATAATAAATAAACGTTTTTTTAATTATTTTGCTTTGTGTTAAAGCCTGTAATTTTACAAAACATCAAACTATCAACGAAGAAAATTGATTGATAATCAAAGTTGTAAATGGCCAAATAAAAATGCGTAATAATTTCTTTTTTATGACTATGAACTATTAATAATTTCATAGAAAGAAATTGTTACGCATTTTCATTTTACCATTAACAACTTTGTTTACCAATCAATTTTCTTCGTTGACAGCTTACTGTTTTTGTAAAAGAACAGGCTTAAACACAAATAAAAAAAAATTACAAAAACTCTTTAATTTTTGAATTTTTTTCCTGTTAAAACTTGCATTTTTGTTTCATTAAAAATGCAAACTTAAAATGAAAATATGTTGCGAAAATTACCTCATTTGACGACCCAAAATTAAGTTTACGTGTTTCGGCTTTTGTAACCGATTTCAAAAAAGGACTCGTTCTAAATTCGAAATCCAGCCCATTCTCGAAGAAAATTTTTATGAAAGAAAGCTTAGGTTCACTTACATTTGTTTCTCATTTTCTACATTTGCATTTAATTTTTGTAAAGTGATCTATAAATAAACGCATCAAACACTCATAAAATATTTTTTGTTTTAAAAGCTTTAAATACGCTTTTTGCTATGAACATATTTATTCCACGCTTGCAGAAAAATGAACTCGTTGCAAGTTAATTTTAAAAACTCCATTAAAAATCCGTGTTAGATCAGATTTCAACTATTAAAAGCAGTGTATATTCAATTAACAAATAAGAAGAGGTCACAAAAGCAAACCAATTTGATTTGTTTACTTTACGCGTTTGCCTTAAAAATACTTGGAAGTATGTACGAGTATAATCGATACTTTTTTGCAATATCGATTCTACTTAGGAGTATTCTAAATGAGTACTAGTATCGATACTTTTCTAAAAAGTTCTATCACTACTTGAAGCTTCAGAATCAAATGATATTTCAACAAAGTCTGAGCCCTGCTTATAACTTACTCTTTCTTTTTGACAGTAACTTTGAAAACCCCGAAAATTTTAGCTAATAAGGTTGGTTCATTTTGTTGCTGACATTTGGTAATGTACTCAAAGTAATTTGGTGCGAAGTTTTCAAATATATTGATATCAGTTTTAGTCATCTCCTTCAAAACAAAGCGATCATCTACAATAAAAGAACATATATGATACATACATATGTATGTTCATACATACATGTATAGAATTTTAGATGCAAAATATATGTAATCATACCCCATGTTTTGCAAAATCTCGAGCCAGATTTACCGCCTCTCGCCTCCCATTGAACACTGCTGCAAAGTGAACGAGCTAGATAATTCCGACATTTCTCAATTTCCGATTGCATCAAAGCCTTTTCATCGAGTCTTCCACCGCTATTAGATTTATTTGCGTCTGCTGGCACATATCCACAGGCGTCACTGGGCTTGCGCACCAATTCCATTTCAGGCCCACTGCGACTTTGAGATACTTTCAACTCCTCTCGTTTTTTGCTCTGCTCAATCTCTTTGTACAGCGATTTCTCAACTTTAGGCGGCTTTAACGTCTTGGCTCGGATCAAATCAAATTCTTTTGCGAAATAAATTTTGCATGTAAACTGTTTACCATTGTCCTGGAATATTAACTCCAGATGCGAAGAGTTAGTTTTGGATTTGTTGCGCTCCTCATCTACGTTTGTATTGTTATTCGAAACTTCTTTTTTATCACTTTCATCGCCATCTTGTGAGCTGGCATTTAAAAAAAGAACTATTGGCTTAGACAGGTTCAACAAAATTGAATATTACCATACTTTTCTTGTGATTTCCTCTTTAAATTTGGGCTGGGATTGTTTTGACATGTAGCATCACTATTGTTCGCGTTGTCAAAACTAGGGGTGTGTACAGCCACACCGCTGGTGGTACTGCTTGAAGTAGCCACTAAGCGCTGGTAGTCATTTGATGTCAAACAGTATGCAATTAGTGAGCTTAAATCTTGATCGTGAACAAGTATCGGGAATGCGCCCAGGGGGAGAGTATAATGCTCCTGGGCTGAAAAAGGTGAATGTAGCAAATTTGTCGGTCCCGCGGAAGGTAAAAGCTGTGTAAGTATTTTTTTTATAGACTTTTTGTCTGTACTGCCGGCTGTCGTTAGCAACTGCTCATTTGATGATTTTTTATCCCCCATTATATGTGCATTGTTTATGGAATCTATTTCGGACTCTGCGGCAATATCATCTGAATGCGAAGACGTGTCATCACTTAGCGATGGCACGGCTAGCAAACGGGATATTTCTGAGCCTTTTGAAGCACCGTCTGAATACTCTGGGCGCAAATTTTCAGTGCAAATTGTTCCTGAATCTGTGTGCGACTGAGCAGGTTGTACTTGCTGCAACTGTTTTACCACGGCTTTTTGCGCTAAAACAATATCGTGAACCCGTGGACCCCACAAATCAATACTCTCAGCTAGTACACGTTTTGACATAAGTAAAGCATCACTCACGTCATGCACACTGGCATGGGGATCTGTAAGTAGAGTTTGAACAATTTCTATATGTTGTTTGAAAATAAATTGATCTTTGCTCAATGCTGTCTTAAGATTGATCACCATCGCTAAAGTTTCGTCCTCGGTAGCTAGGTCAGCGATACGCTCATGAATGCGTGTATAAACTTCATGACCTTTCATAGAAAAATGTTTTATCTCTTCGAGGTATTTGAAGCGGTCTAATACTTTTGAAGGTTGTAAATCTAATATTAGTGCAGGCAAGCCAATGTCCCATACTTCAATAGGCGTATACAGAAACTTGGCACCCACTCCTCGATAGGTGAAATAATGTACATAATCACGATGTAATGAATGCTGACACTGAATCACTTCACCACAGCTTGGAGATAGTCCGGGCGAACTGTTGGTAATAACTGGTTGTTTCTTGTAGGCATGACCATGGAAACGAAGCTCCAAATACTTGGCGAAGGAAAGGCATTTAGTGTTTTCAGAGAGTGGTACACTTGGCGTCATATCATTACAAATTGTACACCAGGCCGTAAAGTAAATGCGATTCGGATCAGTTTTTGTATTGTCCTCGCTAAGGAAGACCTGCACACATCCCATGGAATGAACATAACTATAAGCATGCAGTGAAATATGATTAAACCAAAATCCATAACCTTTTAATGAAGCTTCAGTGAAACTTACCGCCGTACATGACCCAACATTGGCAAATTGCAAAGCCTGCACATCGAATTCAAACGACAGCAATACCGCTGAAGGAATTGTCCAAGCATAATGTCGTGTTGGCCATAGAATTTCATATCCAACAGTGTTGGTGGTGCACAAAAGGAAGATGCTGATTTCGGGTTGAAATAAAAGCTGCAGAATAACACCGGCAGGCGTTGATGGTTTTCCAAATCCAGGGCGTCCTTATGCAAATGTTCCTCAACCACCTTTTGTGGAACTTGATTGAGCTTTTTAAACACTTATTATTTAAAAAAAAACTGATATTAAATCATTAACTTAAAATTATAAGCGCTTATTACTTTTCAGTTTTTTAGGATAGCGACCGCCGTATGCACGAAATTCCGCTAGTAGTGTTTGTATGTCGCGATTATCCCAAGCTGTAGTAATTTTAAGTTTCAAAAATGGATGTGGCGCTCCTAGCTGAGTATCATTAAAGGCATTTTTAAGCTGTTCCAAATTTTCATGGCGATCTAAATGCAGGCTACTATTTATATTCGACCACAATTTGGAATAATATAGCTCAGTTGGAAATAGCCGACGCAATGAACACTTACGTCCCTGTTCGGTTTCTAAATATGGTAACGGAAAACTGAGAAAAGGACTGACAGAAAGTAGAGTAGAGCTAAGTGCATTGCGAAAGCGGTTGTCGTAACGTGTCTCAACTGCCAATTCAACTGGTCGGTCACCTGACATTGTATTTGCAATATCTGCGGAGCGCAGTGGATCAGTAAAGTCAGCGACATTCTCTGATACAGAAATAATTTCTTTGCGTGTTGGCAGTACTTTTTCCTCCGCTTTTCGTTCTAATAATGCTTTAGTTCTTTCAGTTGTCGACCGTATTACTAGCTCATCATCAAATGTCAAATCATCAGGACTGGCCTCTTTCGAATTGAAGATAGGTGGCTTTGGAGTGAGAGGATCTGCAAACGCATCCAAGAGGAATGACATTTCCAAACGCCAATTATATCTAAATTTATAATAAAATTATAACTAAGGTTAAATTGGAAACCTTCGAAAACTCACCGGGCATAAACCAAAAACGATGCGACTTTCTTCACCTTGGCAAGTTCTTTATTTGTCCCTCCTCGTAGTAGGCAAGTGAAACCACGGGGATTGTTAAGTTTTTCGAAAAACATTAGTGTCTTATTACCACCACTACCATCACTAAAACTTCGTATGTAGAAAGCGTCACAAATTCCAAGCTGTGGCCGAGCAATATTTGACTCTATTGAAGTAACGATATCACATTGAAGTATACGCGATATGCGTTCCATCACTGAAAGTTTTAAATCCAATACCAATGTAATGCCTTGAGAACGAAGCATGTCTTGCGCCACGCCCGCAACATTTTTATGAACCAAAACCACATCTGGTTTGAAGCTCATGATGCGATCGCAGACTCGCCGTAAATACTCCTTTTCTTGTAATAACACAGTGGATATACTTACAAACTTTCCTTCTATTCTTTCATAGACAATCGGGCACTGCAGTAGAAGAATGCGCGGATGCTCAACGCGCGTGGCCATACCTTTGTGTGCGATATTCTTTGAAAAAACAACTCCACCTACAATCGTACACTCTTGTCGTTTACCACCCGGTATCTTTTTGATATTCACATAATTGCGTATGTCCATTAAGTCATTAGTACAATATTCTGGTTTGAAATGATTAGCTGCACGGCAGCATAAGGACATTAACACTTTGAACCAACGTAGATCTAGGTGAAACGTTCGTAGCATCTGAGTCAGTAGCTGTTCTTCATAATCACAATAGGACTCCAGCAGCTTAGTTGTAGTGGTTGTGGAACGCATTGAATATTCTAATTCCATATCTTGGACGGAATGAGGGCTTAAGGAAATATCCACAGACTTGGGTGGTTGCAGTTCACCGCTGTTATCAAGCCGCGGACAGATGGCTTCATGCATCGACGTTGGATCCTGAAATTGTTTGGTAATAATGCCTTGTCTGTAAACCAAAGCGAGAAAGAAGCCTTAAATAAAAAATTTACAATTTAGCAATTCTATTATTACTTATTCAGTTCAATGAACTTGTAATGAAGATTTTCGTCGAAATCGATTTGATCAGAATCGGGTACTATAGGTTGCAGAAAGCCAGCAGCTAGCAATGCGTTTAAAATTGCAGCCGCTTGAACCTTACTCGAAGACTTGTTATGCGTAATCAAGTATTCAATGAGATTGGCCCCACAGCTCTGTGTGGGAAGTTGACGTCGCATATCCTCGTGCAGTGTTATTAGTGAATTTGACTGCTGCAGGATGTTCTTTCGATCATCAACTGACAAGCTGTTGACCAAATGTGTAGCAAACCGCTCTTCTTGATAGCCAACAGATACTTTACGAGTCAAGTTTGTAGTTACGGGCAATGCTTCTGTTTTAAAACTTTCGTTTCTCTCCTCCAGTTTTTGTGTAAGATCTTGTTGCAACGCCTGCAGATCGGCGTGTAAGTCAACCGCTATGTTTGGGGACTTTAAGTAACTAAGAACAATTTTGGAGCAGTAGTTACAAACTTTCAATTCACCTGCAAGAAGTGATTTAAATTAGTTTTTTACCCTGCGATCTGAACTTCACCAACGTACCTGCGCACATAATTATTTTTCCAGGCACAACTTGGTTGCAACATTTAGAACAGAAGATCTGACCACAAAGGCGGCAGTGATGCTTGCGTCGAAAGGTGGAGAACTTATGCGCACAATCGTAACATTCTTTGGCCTTAGAGTCGGGCATCCAAAATCGATGTAGCTCAGTATCTTTATAATTCCGTAAGTCCTGCCATTAAATAGAAATAATTATGACCGCTTTTTATTTTATAGAATACCTACGCTATTTTTAGTGGCCATCAAACTGCTGATGCGTTTTAAAACATTGACCATTGTACGCCCTTCACTTGGTAGGTCTAAAATATGTTCGCCAACCTCACTTTTTGATTCCTCGGCGGTACTGCCGCTTGTGTTTGTACTGGAATTTCCAGAAGCGTTTATTTTTTGAGTAAAGTTGAAGGCGTTTGTCGGCTGCACCCTTGTTGTAACATTCACATTAGAACTGGAATTTATTCGGGTGTCGGCATCAGTTTTATGTTCATCATAAAATACAGATTTTGAGGTTTGTAATGATGCGGAGCTACAACCGGCTGTGGTAGCTACTTCATTTACAGTATTATAGCTTTGATTATATACATTTTGTATTTTGTTAACAAAACGGTCGAGTAACGATTCGGGTTCGCCATCTTCGAAATCTCTAGCGAATTCAGTTAGCTTTGTAGGTGAATGCAGGTGTTGATTCATTTTGAAGATAAAATGGACTTCAAAGTGTTTTTTTACTTTTAATTCGTATTTAAATATGTCTTAGACAGTGGAAACGTTTAACTGTTCACTCAAGGATGATTCCGGCGCCAATGAACTTAGAGCCAAATCACTCCATTTTTGCTCCTACAACAGTTAAAAAATATTGAAATTTTAATATTTTTTTTAAGAATTAATATAATTTTACCTGTTCACTAAGAGTTAAGTGAGAGTCGCCGCCATCCGCTTCTGGATCAGGCAGCTTATCAGCAGGAACAAGTATCTGATCAAAGGGCAAAATCTCCTCACGCCACTTATTATCGACAATATCCAATAATCGACCTTGGGGCAATGGCTAAGGTAAATAATTGCGTTAATTTTTAAAGATAGTACATATAAGAGGCCTTGAGAGCGAGAGTAGCCTAACTGACACTTAAAAAAATTGAGGTACAACGGAAACTGCATTACTAAAATCAAAGCGCTAATAGCCCGGGTTACGCCATTTTAGTTTTCTTTGACCATAATAGGTAGTATCGCGTAGGGAATACGCCCTTTTAGTTTTCTTTTACAATAATAGGTATTAGGTATCACATTGGTGAAATTTTCAGTAAAAATAAACATATTTATTATACTTCCTTCTTCTTTCCCATCTTACTAAAAAAAAAAGGTTAATAGGCCACTCCGGCTCTCCTGGCTTCATATGTGGCCTTTTAAAGGTTTTTATGTACAATATATATGTTTTTAGAAATAGCATTTTTAAAATGCACTGAGGTAATATTATAACACTGTGCTATACAAATTCCCAGGGATTCCCTTTTTAAGAAGGTGGGCGCAGGAAACTCGTACGTATTGTTATGTGGGAGTAAGGGATGTGTGCTGCCTGACCGCCGTTGGCTGTGTGCGCTGCTGTGGAAGGTGCCGCCCTGTGGTGGTAGTGAGCGGCGTCGCAGTTGAGCAGACCTAAACATGCCCTAAAGTGGCACCAGCCTCAGTTGGACTGGGGTTTGCCGTGGAGGCAGCTCTCTTTGAGCAGCAGGGGGCCACAAACGATGTGGTCCAAAGCCGATGAGTCGGTAGGCCTGAGCAGACTCCACCCGTTGCAAGCATTGCATTGAGTTTGCATGCAATCGTCTCTGGCATACGCAGCAGGTGGGGGGCAATGATACAACCCTATTTTTAATGTTTCTCTGGAGTTCCTTTGCATCTAAAATCGCATATTTAATGTTAGATATTCAGCCTTTTCCCGTACTCCGGGATTTGCAGGTTGTACAGGAACAGATATTTTCGTCTTTAATATACCTTATGTGAACGTGGCGTACCTGAACGACTTTGGACAAAATCCTGCAAAACCTGCAAATCATAGACGTTCTGGGACGCTCTAATTGATTGGCGTGAGCAAAGCACAAAGTAATTGATACATGTACATACACATACCTGACTGTCCATCGCTTTTAACTATGATTGGGATTTGTTGTTCCCCTTAACTAAATTAGTTAATAGCACGGATGAATGAAATTAGAAGACTGGTGTCATATTTATAAAAAAATTTTTTTTTTTTTGTGATTTGAGTGTGATGGCAGAGCGGTTAGCTCGCAAACGCCAGGCTATTCCACTAGTTGGTGAATACTTGTGTTCACCAGTCCTTGTTAGTTGAGCAGCTTATTCCAGGTGCAGCTTTTGTTGAGCGATGTAAATTTCAATCGGTGTCGTAAATGAAACCCGTGTTGTCAACTCAGATGTGATTTAAACGATTCGTCACTTGTTTTGTAATTTCATGTCTGGCGCTAGAGCTGAGAAAAACAACGATTCAAAATCGATTTTTATACTTCATTATCGTTTCTAAATAACATGATTTGATCAAAGATCGTAAATTTATAAGAAGGGACAACTCGTTACTTTGTGCCGCTACGATTTTGACCTTATCTGAAACATTTGCAACTGGAATTCGTCGCCGTTTTGCCTCTGTCCGCGGCAGATTTTTTATTTTTGCCTCGAATACGGAAAACACTATCAAAACAAGATAAAGCGGCAAATGTGAATTTCGGTGATTATTTTGCACAAGTGTTCTTTGTCTAACTGCCATCCCTAAATTGGCGCGTCAAGCGAGAAGCAACTGAAGCAAAAAATATAGTTTTTAATGCAATTATTGATATACAATTCTGATTTATCCGCCGCTAGTATGTTAATTTAGTGACCAAAGTATTCTCTGCTAAGCGTTCTTTGCAGCAAGTTGCATGAGGACGGGCCTTTTAGGTATGACACTTCTGCGTAACGCCAAGCGTCAGAAAACGCAACGCATATCGCTTTTGTTTAGGTATGGCAGTAATATACAAAAACATTTGCCAACACTGCCTTATGATCCCGCTTTAGTTACTGTCAAAAAATTTTCGTTGTTGTTTCGTTTCTAGCATTTCTTTCATATGGAATTCTTGGGCTCAATCTTATTGGATTTGAAGTTTACGCCAACTTTTTTTAAAGAATAATTACCATCCCAGTTCCAGGCGGTAAGTGGCATATAACTTTAATAGGCGTAGTTTTTATGCTATCATAAAATACAAATTGCGTAACGTCATATATTTAGCATTGCTTTTCATTATTCATGCATTTGTATATCGATTTTCGAGTCTAGAAATTTTACGTCTGATGTAATGCAAATGATTTAGTAAATGCCGCAAAGTCTAGTTTTTATTATTATTGTGTTTTTGTGATCCCCAGAGCTCAAATATTGGCATCGTATTGCCACAGTTATTTACAATATTACGCACATTGTGAAACATATAAAACAATGTTATCTCGCGTCTCGTCAACGCGTTCTGTGGCGCAAATGGTAAAACAAGTAGCTGGAAGATGCACAGTTCTCAACGTTGGCGTAGGAATAAATGCACGAAATATTGGGAGCAGTCTATGGAGCAATAAAAACAAACATGCCCAACCGACTTCGTTTCTACGGCGCTCTAAAATAATGGCCGTACCCCACATTATCCAGCAACAAGAGCACAAATTTAACGAGGGAAAACAGTATCATGGTTTTGAATGCATACGTGTGGAATCTGTACCGGAATTCGGCATAATGTCATACACCTTTCGACACGTTGGAAGCGGCACCGAGCTGTGGTATTTAGATCGAAAGGATTCAAATAATGTATTTTCTATCAACTTTCGCACAACGCCTTTTGATTCCACTGGATTACCACATATTCTTGAGCATAGTGTCTTATGTGGTTCGCAAAAATATCCAGTCCGCGATCCGTTTTTCAAAATGCTTAACCGATCTGTGGCCACATTTATGAATGCCATGACCGGCCCGGACTATACAATGTACCCATTTTCTACTATGAATGAGACAGACTTTAGGAATTTACAAAAAATTTATTTGGACGCAGTTTTCAGGTGAGATTTTCTGTATCTGGTGCTTAAAATCTTTGATAAAGTGCTTCCTTTAATTTTGTAGACCAAATTTGGAATACTTGGATTTTCTGCAAGAGGGTTGGCGTTTGGAGCACTCAAACATTAATGATAAGTCTTCAGAGTACGTTTTAAAGGGAGTCGTTTATAATGAAATGAAAGGCGCTTTCTCTGAAAATGGCTCAGTGTTCTCCCAAAACCTGCTTAACAATTTGCTACCGGATCACACTTACGGATTTGTATCCGGCGGCAATCCACTCGAAATTCCAAAGCTAACACACAAGAATCTGGTAGATTTTCACTCCAAATACTATCATCCAAGTAATGCTCGTATATATACTTATGGCAATTTCGACTTACGAAGGACACTCGATTATGTTAATAATGAATATATGAGCAAGTATAATGCTATTGATAATTCTTATAGCCGAATACCAAACCAGCCACGCTGGGATAAACCACGTAATGTTCATATCTCTAGCCGTTTTGATAACATGGGAGCACCCTTCGAGAAACAAAATCAAATTGGTATTGCTCTTCTAATGTCAGATGTAACAGATACACAAGAAACATTCGTGCTGCATGTTCTATCGGAATTGCTGGTGCGTGGACCAAATTCATCATTTTACAGGAGCCTTATCGAGCCTAACTTCTCTGGTGGATATAATCAGGCAACGGGCTATGACCCACAAATAAAAGACACTTTTTTTTGTGTGGGATTGCAAGATTTGCGCGTAGAGGACTTCGCACGTGTACAAGAACTTTATGACAAAACCATTAAGCAAGTTATGTCGGAAGGATTTGAGCTTAGTCACGTAGAAAGTGTACTACACAACATCGAGTTATTACTTAAACACCAGAGCCCACAATTTGGTATGGGTTTGCTATTTAACTCTACTCCATTGTGGAATCACGATGGCGATGTGGTGTCCAGTTTGCGGGTGTCTAATATGATTGCTAATTTCCGTCACAACCTTGCAAAGGATCCAAAGTATTTGCAACATAAGGTTGAACAGTATTTTGCAACGAATTCACATCGTCTCACTTTAACTATGTCTCCCGACGACCATTATGAAGACAACTTCAAAACAGCAGAACTAGATTTATTAAAGCAGAAAATAATGGCTCTTGATGATAAAAAACGTGTAGAAGTCTATGAAAATGGTATAAAATTGGACCAAGCTCAAAAAGGCCATCCAAATTTGGAAATCCTCCCTTGTCTAGATTTGTCTGATGTGCAGAAAATGCCGAAAATGCCCTCAATCGAAGTTCTGCGCATTTGCAGCGTGCCAACGCAAGTGTGTCATGTTCATACAAACGACATTTCGTACTTAAAATTACATTTTAATGGTGCCAACTTAAATCACGATGAAGTTATGTTGGTGCCCCTTTTCTGTGATGTCATTAACGATATGGGTACCAACAATTACAATTTCAGAGAATTCGACAAGTTGGTCTTATCCAAGACAGCTGGGATTGATTTTAAATTACATTTCGCTGAGAATATATACGATAGTAAATCATACCTATTAGGTGTTTATATGACTACACATGCGCTGGATAAAAACGCAGCCGAGATGTTCGAACTGAGTACTGAATTACTAACTAAGTTTAAGTTAGAGGACACCGATCGGTTGAGCATGTTAATTGATAATTACATTTCCAATATTTCTGTGGGTATTGCGAGTTCGGGACACTTGTATGCCATGCAGAGCTGCGCGGGCTTCGTAGAATAGTTCTTTCACAGGTTCGGTATCGGCTAAGGCCACGAGTTATCTGGGTGTTTATGGCGTTATGCTGTGCATTTTACGGAATCCATGCTGATGCTTCGCTGGGGTCAGGTGGTTCTTAAAGTACGGGAGTTGCAAGGCCTCTAGTGTCTTCGCTACCGGGGAAAGGAGGGTTATCGGACGATAAGACTTTCCTTTGTTGGCTGGTTTCCCCGGTTTGAGCAGTGGGACTACTCTCCCTATCTTCCAGATGTCTGGAATGACGAGAGTGGCCATTGACAGATTGAGGACCTCCGTTAGGTACGCTACTCCCGCAGGACTCAAATTTTTCAGCACTCAATCTGGGAATCATTTTGGGATTTTAGAAATTTTCGGGATTCTCGGGACATCGATAAAATAATCGATATTTTTATCGGTATTTGTATCGATTTCGTTATCGATTTTGTTATCAATATTTATCGATTTTGTTATCGATATTTTTTATCGATTTGGTATTGATATTTTTATCGATATTTTTCGATTTTGTTATCGATATTTATCGATTTTGTTACCGTTATTTATCGATTTTATTATCGATATTTATCGATTTTATTAGGGATATTTATCGATTTTGTTATGGATATTTTTATCAATTTTGTTATGGATATTTTTATCGATTTTGTTATGAATATTTTTTTCGAGTTTCTAATAGATTTTGCTACCAATATTATTAACGTTATTGCTATCGAAATGTTTATCGAATTTTTATCGATTTTGTTATCGATATTTTATTGGATGATACTATCGATTTTGTTATCGATAGAGTATAAAGATAAGAATTAAGATAATGGAAAACATAATGAAATAAATGTAATTAAAACGAACAGGGGTAGGTAGGGATCTAGATAGCAAAAAGACAAAAAATGCAGCCTTAAGCAAAAGCAGATGCACGTATGTATGTACATATGTACATATGTATGTATATTGGTTATGACTACGGTGACCATATTAACCAAAAAATAAAGGACATTTTTTTCAAAATGATTTGGGGATACAAATCGTATGATAAAAGTACCTTACCCATATCATAATTTAAATCAAATATTTACCAGTTAATTATATTATTTAATTGTACAAGTTTCCCTGCTGTAGCGAAAAGTTAAGCCACATCTTTTCAAAAACTTCGCCATCCTTTGCTACCAAAACGCGTTTATCATAATTCATACTGCACGACGAAGCCAGCACACAGTGGTTCAAAATTGAAATTTAATGTTCATAATTCACCGGAGTCTTTATTTTGCAACCAACTTTTTACTAAAAACAAAAAAAAAATATTTATTTTGGTGAACTTTTTTTTATAACATTTCAAAATTTAATTTTTATTTTTTTTTGTTTTGGGAGAACCATACAATTGTTATCAACTAGTTTTTGGTATGTAATATTTATTAACTGAAACAGGAGTTACATTTTCTTCAAAATTGTTACTTTTTCTGCATTTTGTACAAAAAAATGTTATATAATCCAATAAGAATTCAAAAATCAGGCTCAACTACCCTGCAAACCAAAGTTCCCGAAATCTTAAGGAAATCGTTAGGAGTATCGCATTTCTGTAGCGATTTTTTTTACGAATTTTTAAAGAAAGTTATATGAAGTGGTTGACACGAACACGTAAAGAAATTTCTGTACGAAAAATAAAGAAAATTCTGGAAAAACTCTGAAAGATATTCTTCACATAGCAGCATTATTTTCGTTGCTTCACAGATTTTCTTCCGAAATTTCGTAAAAGAATGGAAGTGTGCGTAATTTATTTCATTTTAGAAAATTCGGCAAAAAATCGAATTAAATCTTAACGAATACTTTAAAATTTCTTTACAATGCATAATACTCTGAAAAAATGGTTTGCAGGGT